ATAGGGGTTATATAGGGTTTAGGAATAATAAAAAATCAAATGGAAAAGAAATGGAAAATGAATGGAAACTGTGATTATTATGGCTTGTATTGGGGTTATATAGGGTTACATAGGGGTTATATAGGGGTTACATAGGGGTTACATAAGGGTTATATAGAGGTTACATCGGGGGTATATAGGGGTTGTATAAGGGTTTTACAAAGGGTTACAGAAAAAATTGGGTGTTATATTGGGGTTAGGGTCATATAGGGTTTGGGGTTTAGGCATAATGGAAAAGAAAATGGAAAATACTATTATATAGGTGTAATATAGGGGTTGTATTGGGATAATGGAAAAGAAAATTCGAAACTACTATTTGGGGTTTAGGGTCCTGGGACCAAGCGCCACAACGTGGGTTTAGGGGTTTAGACATAATGGAGAATCAAATGGAAAACCACATGGAAAATGAAATGGGAACAACCATAGGATTAAGGTTTTAGGTTTAGGGGTTTAGGGTTGAGAGTTTGGGGTTTAAGTCTTGTTTTAAACCAGTGGACTTTTGAGTTTAGGGTCTAGGGTCCCATTTGGTACCCCTAGATCTTAGGTGCCGTAATATACTTTAGACCCAAAGGGGCCCATAATTCTAAGAATAACCCATGTACAGCTTCACGTAGAGGGGAGGCCGATGCGCCTTCTCACACAAGTCATGGATGCTCTTAGGATCCGAGACCCAGACCTGTCGGTAAACATGGGTATTAGGATTTAGGGTTTAAGGTCCCATTTTGGTACCCCTAAACCCTAAACCCTAAACCCTAATATTAGGGTAAAGGTGTTGTGCAGGCTGTTGCTTCATCGACGATGGCCACCATGCTTGGCGGCTGGCGACGCTTTTTTGCAAACCGCCCAGTCAAGCCGACAGGAATCCAGCAAAAGACCGAAACCTACTTCTAAGAAGTGCCCTAGGCTATAATAATAGTAATCAATATTCTAATATGATGTGAATGATAGCTGTAGTAATTTTTCGTTGTAGTAATAATCATAATAGGAATAATACCGATTTGAAACGTCCTCAGCCGTCCTACGTCCAGCTTTCACGTCTGCTTCGTATGGCAAGTGCTCGCAGGACCTGCCTCAGAGCCGGCTTGTCGGTTGCCCTGTCAGGATGCATCTTCATCACTTGTCTTTCATCTATCTGTTTTTTTTTTGTGGGACCTTTTCTCCGATCTGGTTTAGGGTTTAGGGTTTGGGGCTTAGGGTTTAGGGGGTTGTTAGCGGGGATAGGAGGATGAAGAAGCAGCTGGAAATGACCCATCGTATGGGCTACTACAGGGATCCGATCGTCATACTTAGCATTCCTGTTTTTCCACTTCCCGGCATTTCCATAATCTTCAGCAGGAATGACAGAAGAGAGTCGTGACAAGAGCTATGACAATTATGGCCTGCAGACAGATCTTTGGTTGCATGGAGGAACTGTATCAAAGCAGCGTTGGTTTCCTCCGGCTTTTCCTGGGTGTTCCAGTGGCCGCAGTCTTTGATGAACACGACTCGGCGCAAGTCGGTACAGCTCAATCGAAGGGATGCCGTCGAAGCTTCCATGCCGCCATTTGTCCTAATGACATTGTCGAGCTCCCCAGCGACAAAGAGCACGGGCTGCCTTTGGCTGGAGACACACGGGCCACTTATCCATCTTGCCAATTCGACTAGACACATGTGTTTGCAAAGAGCGACGGAGGCAGCTAAAGTGCTGTATCTTCCCCCCAGTCTTCTTCAAGGGCTCTTTGGTCTGCACCCAATTCCGGTCCAGGCATCGGTAGTAGTTCACCCCTCCACGAAATCCTGAGTTGCTTGACATCCATCCTGGGTGGATCACTTGAACCAGAGTCTAAACTCCTGGTATCCCCCCTAAATGATCCCCATAATACTCCTGTATATAATCCCATCTACATCCCCCCTTTAAGGAGTTTCGACTATGGCCTCACTTAAGCTTAATGCAATAAGGAGCCGGACTTGCGGAACTCGTCCACGAAGCGGTCAAGGGCAGGACGGGGAAGCCAGGAGGGCAGGTGCGCCTTAGGTTCTTGGAACCCTTTTAAAAGGGTTATAGGGTTTAGGGTTTAGGGTTTAGGGTTTAGGGTATATTGGGGTTATATAGGGATAATGGAAAAGAAAATGGAAACTATAGGAATTATAGGGGTTATGTATGGGTTATATTGGGGTTATATAGGGATAATGGAAAAGAAAATGGATACCACTATTTAGGGTTTAGGGTTTAGGGATTGGAGTGTATTTGAGGGTTTCCCGAAATTTGGGGTTCCTTTAAAGGGAATATAGGGTTATATGGGAGTATACAAGGAGATTCATAGGGTGTAGGGTTTCCCAAAATTTGGGGTTCCTTTTGGGGGTCCCTGTAACAAGGATTCTAGTATTTTTTGGGGTCTGTATTGGGTTACCCATTAAGGGAAAATACCATTTGACCAAACGAATTCGGGCTTGATCGATAGGGTATGGATTGCATCACCATGTCACGAGATAAGCCGTTGCTGGTATGGAGAAAGGTACAGAACAGAAAAGGGCTGGATCATTCCTAGTCCATGGCTAAGGGTAACCAACAAATGGCTTGTTCCATACCCCAAATATTGTCGGAAGCAGTCAGGCAAGGGCTTTCTGCGGAATCCATATTACCATATTACCCTATTCCTACTAATCACATACTAATTACATACTACTATATACTACTATATACTACTAGATACTACTATATACTACTATAGTCTACTAATACTGTATTACCATACTACTGTATACTAGTATGCTAGATGCAGCTTCTGGCACCCCTTTGGCAGGCCGCGGAATCCGTGTTCGCAATCCCCCACTGGAGCGCTTGCTGTCCTTGTTGTAGTCCGCCTAAGAGGGGCTTAGCCAGGCCAAGCCTGCTCTGATATGGGGATTAAATAGGGACTGTGTAGGGATCTTCTAAGGTTTTTTGGGGTTATATAGGGATGATGTTATACAGGGTCATAGAGGAATTACACAGGGACATTACCCCCAAAATGGAGAATCAGATGGAAAAGAAAGTCGAAAATGAAGTAGAAACTACTTGGGTTCAGGGATTGGGGTTGAGGGTTCCTGCCTCCAAGGGAATTGCATTCACCTGGGACGTCCCGAAGGCACCAGAGAGATAGATGCGGAGTAACACCTAGGTTCCCCAGTAACCCATGAATAATAAGGGTACCCTTTTTCCTACTGTTCAGCTTTAATGAGGAGACCCCAAAATAAAAGGGCAAAAGGGTACTACTGGGGTACCTAGACACATCCTCTGGGTCCGCATCATACTCTTGATCCGCAGGGCCAGAGACAGCCGCCGGATTGTCTGTTGGCCATGTCTCCCCGTAGCGAGTGTGTTCGTTGTGATAGAGGATGTAGTTGAAATGCTCGCCGAACCTGGCTGCGAGCCCAACAGCCGGAGGCCGGTGAGAATACATGTAGGCCGGCGGCACGCTCATCGGGCAAAGCCTGCGCTAGTTCGCTCATCTGGAAAATCTCTGTCCCAATCAAGAAGGAATATAGAAAGTTTCGAAGCTAACTGCCAAGCCGCCGTGGAAAAGCCTCTGGATGAAGACAGCCCAAGTTCCTTGGGCCATTTTCTCCGGGAGAAGGGGAACAGCTTTGCCAGAAGGGGGCATCAAGTCAAAAACTGCCAAGCCGCCACACATGGAGGGCCCCCCAGTCGTGACCAACTAAGGCATAGCAAGTCTTCCCAAGCGCCTTGAGAAGCGCCAGCATATCCTCGTCAAGAGCATGTCTGCGACCAGCCGACCGTTTCAGCCCCAAAGGATTCCGAGAAATTCCGAAAATGCATGGAATGCATGCAGCACATCAGTCTCCTGACCGATATGAATCGCATCGTAGCGAGCCACCTGGGTCAAAAGCTGCGTGGTTAGGGTCCAAGGCAACTTGGTGCAGCCTGAGCACTTCTTTGGGGGAGTCTGAACCTCCAAAGCCTGGCATGTCGGGTGCCACGGCATAGTAACCGGCCTGACGGAGACTGAACAGAGAAGGCCTCATCTCTTTGTTCAAACCTCTCGAATGATCTGAGCCTTCGCCAGAGCAGGGAGTTGCCAACGCCAGGAGAACCTACTCAGAAGCGATTGAGGGAACGCAGAAAGTCCGGATCTGCAATCAAGCGGCCAGCATTCTGGCCAGCCATGTATGAGCAGCACCAGAGGGTTGGCCTGAGCGCAAACGATGTCGCACAGAATGCTGTTGTTTGACAGGCTGGAAGGCATGTAGATGGCCTGATGAAAACAAGCTGCTGTTCAGCTTGGAAACCCTCGCTTCTTAAAATTTGAAGTCAGGTGGCAGGATCCCCTTGCTCGGCCACTCGCATGCGCAGCTCATTGACCTGCATGCGACTTGGGTTGGCAGGCAAACCTCCCCAAGTCCCTAGAAGATTGACCTGCAGCGTGCGCAGCCGAAGCTCATGAGAGCTAGCCATCGCCCAAGCGCGACCGGTGTTGGGTCAGGGAGCCTAGATGTGGGACTGTTCCAATTCGCCCAGGATCGCTAGCTGGGGTTGTTGTAGGTTCCCGCTCGCTTGGACGCTTGGAGTTTGGGAGTGCAACTTGAAGCAGGACTGTCCAAAGTGCTAATACTCGAGAAAAGCTTGAGCGAATGCGGAGGCTTCTGCATCTCCCACACATCCCCTTTGCATCACACAAGGAACAACCCCAAAGTGCTGCGGCAAGGTCCTCCCTCGGAGTGTCTGTCTCACCCTCATCGCCAGCGCCCACGGAGGAAAGTGGTAAAGGTGGAGGGCCGCTGAGGGAGGGCTTCCTGGCTCTCAACTGCAGAAAGTAGAACTCTAATTTGGCTGCCTGTATCGCAATGACACATCGCCTTGATCCCTGGCCGCTGCCAGGCTTTGCCTGGCTGGAGGCATACTCATGGGATAAGTCAGGAGAAGAAGATCACTGACCAAAACAAACTCTCCTGCCCCCTGTCGAGCCTCTCCGTCGTCCTCCTCATCTTCCTCTCTGCCATAAAGCCTTTTCCTGGCAAGACTCGTCTGCCATTTCTTCGAATTCACAGGTAAGGCTGCTTCTCAGCGAAGACGCACAGGCTAATCGGGTGTTTTGAACAGCAAACAGAACTCTGGCAAGCATTCAACCCTAGTTGACCCCCAAACCCTGAACCCTAAACACCAAATAGTAGTTCCATTTTCTTTTCCATTATCCCAATATAACCCTAAACCTTAAACCCTAAACTCTAAACCCATGATAGTAGCTTCCATGTTCTTTTCCATCAACCCTATATTAAATGAGCGTAGTGTCCCAAGAAAACCCAAAGATCCAACACTCAACCCCAAATAGTAGTTTCCATTTTCTTTTCCATTATCCCAATATAACCCTTAACCTTCTATCATATAATACTACCCCTTTACAACCCAAAGATCCTTCAAACACGAAGGCGCACCGGCCCTTGGCTCCAGCGTTGGGAGAGCTGCGCTCTGGGAGGTCTGGGAAAGCAACCTTCAGCTCGCCCAGAGCCTCCGTTTGGAAGCTTCCAAAACGGTTTAGGGTTAAGGGTTTAGAGTTTAGGGGGTCCGTTTGGGGGCATATGGGGTTTCCCAAAATGAGGGGTACCATTTTAGAAATCCCCATAATAAGGATTATAGTGTTTGGGTGTCTATATTGGGGTCCCCTAATTTTGGGAAACTACCATATGGGGAGGATGCTGGTATTTTGGGGTGTATATGGGGGCCCCTTCTCGTTATGGAAACTACCAATTAGGCTGGCAGAGCTTCGTTGTAAACAGCTCTTCTGGAGACATCCCAGTCTTTCTATTGCTGCGATATGCTAGGATTCTGTGTTATCTGATTCAATCGCACCTTTGGGTCCAGCAAGACGCGGCCCTTCTGCCAGGCCTTCAGCGTCGATTTGAGCCGCTGCAGGTGCTGGGCCAAGTCGCCTCGTCAAAGCACGCCGCACCGAGCATGGGGTGAGAGGCATGGGTGCCAATGCAAACGTGTCCTTGTGGGCGGAAGGGTGTGAATCTTGGGCTAAGTGCTGCTGGTCTCTAGATAAGATCCCTTTCTGCCAAAACGCTTCAAGACAGCGTAACTCTGTGGTATTCAATGATTTCCAGGCTTCGCAGCATGGTGCGTGATTCGTTTTGTCATGCATAATCCTGATCGACAGAGGCTCTGAGTTCAGCTTGTAGCCGGCCTTCACGCGGCGAGGACGCTCCACGGGCGACGTTCTCCACCTCAGCACACACACACACACACACAACTGCTCAAGCTTCTGTGAACCCCTTGCAAACGAGGTAGAATCTAAACTCCTAATGTCCCCCTGAATACCTTTAATCCCTTTATAACCCCCTTTGAGGAGTATAGACTACAGCTCGAGCGTTACCGGCCTGGCTCTGCATGGAGACGACCTGCTTCGCCGCTGCCCGGAGGCAAGCTCCATAGGTGTGCGCAGACTCCGGCCTTGGTCTACGAGACAGGTTGGAAAAGCACAGGGCTACGGCTACGGTGCATACACAAAATCCTGCATAACCCAAAGTCGCTTATACCTTGGGAATTATAGTACTCTATATATATATATATGTAGATGGAATGCTCATGCAGGAGTTTTAGTATCAACGGTATGCCACTAAAAGGCCTCCGGGGCTGGTCTAAGGCCGCTACGCTTGACAGGCCTGGCTTTGCAAAGATCACACGATGTGCTCTACAAAGCCATGAGATTGGGTCAACTTAGATCATGTTACCGGAATAGTGATATATAGTCAATAACGGGGTGTCCTAACTTTGGTAACTTAGTTTAAGTTACTTAGTTCATGTGATGTTAAGATCCATCTGGCCTCAGGTACCCCTACTTGCAAAACGTCTTGGGAATGACTTGGAGAGTTCGCACTCCATCTATGACTTGCGGTCACCGCAAATTAATCCCACGTCTCCACTGCTACACACCAAACACCAAAAAAACTCCTGTAAGACAGCCACAACCCCAAGTCAACATCCATGTCCGCCTTGATGAACTCGGCCGTTGACACTATCTGCGACGCAGACTTTGCGACGGGCACCACCTTGCGCGGGAGTTGCAGAAATGCTTTACTGAATGTAAGAAATGTGTTCGCTGCTTGCAGATATTGACGAACCACCACACCGCACGCCGCAAAATAATGGTCAAAGCAACACTTGCGATGGGGGCCCTCCAGCATGGAAAGGCACTACAAGGCCGCGCTGAGCTTGGTAGCTGGGACTATGTTTCAAAGAGGCATCGTGTACTTCATGGGGAGTAGATCGATGTTGAGGAGTCGATGTGGCTGCACCGCGGTTTGATGCGGCTCTGAAGCGCCAAGGTATTTCGGTGGATTTGGAAGTAGGCTAGACAGGAGCCTTCCTCCCAGCGCATTACTGGCGTGTGAGGCAGATCACCCATAAACTCTTGGCAACGTGTTCTGCTTTCTTTTTGGGGCTTTAGAGGTAAAACAGATTCCCGCTGATGCTCATGGTGCTGGTCCCTTCTTGGGGTTTTGGTGGGAGAAACGGATTGTCCATTTTGGGGGTACGATCCTTACATGTCCCGTACCACACGTATTAAATTCCATATTCTTTCCATTACCCGTATACTAGACTAGACTACCAAAAGGACCCCTATGTCCATCCTTAGTGACCCTATAAAATCTTAAAAACGACTATATATCCCCACATGTCTCTATCAGATCCATGCATTTCCATCACCTCTGCCAGCCACTGTCGGACCGCATCAGCTCGCTCCTGGGGCACATCTACAGAAGCCTGAAGATCCCTTGAAGGGGTTATATTGGAGTTTCTCACAATTAGGGGTACCTTTTTAAGGGTCCCAATAATAAGGATTATAATATTTTGGGGTCTATATTGAGGTCCCCCTATTTTGGGAAACTACTATATGGGGGTATAGACCTTATAGGGATTTACCCCAAGAGTGGACAAGAATCAAATCAAAAAGAAATGGAAAATGAAATGCAAACTGAAATTATCTGGCAGGACTGGAAGGGAAAATCCCGGCTGCTGTACTAAAATAGTGTCCACATTGGGATTACATAGAGATAGGGTGCTTCGGGCCCAAAAACCATGATTATAGTACAGTGGAGAATGGAATGGATAAGAAAATCAACAGTCATATGGAAGCTGGGGTGTTCTAGCAAGGGGAACAGGAGATATATAGCATATTACTAGCCCTAAACCCAAGGTAATAACGTCGCTTCCATTTTCTTGTCCACTTCCCATATGCCCTAAACTTCAAAACCCTAAACCCTTGAAAGGCGGTCACCTCCGCTCCCAAATGCTACACTCCTGCCAGTTGACGACGCGACGCTCCACAGACACAGCGACCTTCCACAGCAGAGCGCTTCGAAGGTAGCGATTTACTATTCCAAGGTGCTGATCCCTATAAGAAGAATATATCGTATAAGAAAAGTATGAAAATGTACTATTTTTCGAGATATATAAGTGTGTATATATATATATATTCATTTATCTTCTTTGTCTTCATTCTATCTTCCCTCGCCCATCCTCCGTAAGGACTTTTTAGAGAACAACTTTGCCAGGCCTGGCCCACCTCCTCTGCTTCGCGGCGCAGCTGCGCACCGAGTAGACCAGCCTCAGCGAGCTATCCAGATCGCAGGAACAATACAACTACTGTAGTAATACTAATAAAGAGTACTAATACTAATAAAGAGAGTAACAGTCATAACATAATACTAATATACAGTAGTAATACTAATAAAGAGAATAACAGTCATAACATTAATGACAAGAACAATGATGTTATAATATGATCCATATGTGCCCCCAGTTGACCATTGAGTTTCCGTTTGAGTCTCCATTGAAATACCCAAGCGTGGTATCCGAGCAGGCTCTACGCCAATCCTGGATTATATTTTAGTTTCCATAAATTGGGGTAGTAAAATAGACCCCAAAATACCACAATCCATATTCCGGGGACCCCCCAAAGGGCACCCTTAATCTAGGGAAACTCTCATATCACTGCTCAACCCAAAACCCAAAACCCAAAACCCAAAACCCAAAACCCTAAACCCTCTTTCCACCCGGTGGAGGACCCTTGCCTCGCGACTGGCTTTTGATTCCAGGTCAGCACGTAGGCTTTGCACCTCGGACCTGGGCACGCCGCGCGATGTTCAGGGGCCCATTGAGGTAACATTAGGATAGGGTTTAGGGTTTAGGGTTTAGGGTTTAGGGTTTAGGGTTTAGGGTTATATTGGGGTTATATAGGGATAATGGAAAAGAAAATGGAAGCTACTATATTATGTATAGGGGT